ATTAGAAACAAAGAAGCTACTAGGAACAAGTGCATCGCTACTAGTAACAAGTGCCTTACTAGTAGTAACAAGAAGCAAAAGATTGCTGTTTGGTTCAAAAGTGCATGATCCACTTCACTCAGGTGTTGACCTTGCACGAGAAGTATGAGATTCGTCCAGGACCAGCTCTTGAGCCAGTTGGTCTCGTCTGCCGACCAAAACGTCTTGAGATGAAACTATCCATGTCGTAAAGAAAGAAGAAACCATACGAGCGAAAGAGGTGTAACAGGGTCTCAAGAAAAAGTAAACCGTATACGGTATACATTATTACATTATATAATACTCACCATAGACTATACAAAGTCGACTCAACCTACAAAGTCGCGCGCGTAAGAGACACGTTCACAGGAGATGGGCACATTGCGGTGAAGTTTGCCAACTCGGGAAATCGGCCTGGTCCGCGGGAGTCTCAGTGAGCAAATGGGCTCAGGATGGCTTGGAAAACCACATGTTCAAGAAATCTCAACTTCTCTCACGGATTTTCTATGCTTTCAACTGAATCTGTACCCCCAGGGCTGCTTTCCGGGACATGTTCAGCTTGATGAATCACCCAAAGCTGCCAAAAAGCATCCTTTGACTGAGCTTTTGGCGCCTCCAAGGTACTAGCTTCTCTGCCAAGCAGTCAGGTTTGTTCGGAGACCTAAAGCTGTGATGTGTTCGATTTCTTTTGAGCAGAGCTTCAAGCAGAAGACGCCGACGAGTCTGCCCAGTCATTCAGTACGAGAGATCATCTTCGGTTTGGTTGTGAAGTCTACTAGGAGCAAGGGCATCGCTACTAGGGGCTCCCTGGCCTTACTACTAGGAGCAAGAGGACGCTACTAGGGGCTCCTGAAGTTAGTGAAGTTGTTCCGCTCTGTGGCACCGCGTGGCACCCTGATGGGTGTTCAGGCGGCTGACGTGTAAGCCCAGTTTAGGCGAGATGACATGCGTTTTGGGCACTCAAAATGGGAGATTTGTGTGCTCAGAGCTCGGATGAGCAGCTCACATGAGCTCACCCTTGGCTCAGTTTCACTGAACGCGTCAGTGGCTCGGAGCTAGGAAATTGGAACTCATGAAGGTCCACCGTCAAATAGATAGAAAGGTGCAGAAAAGGTGCAGAGGTTTTTGCTCTGAGAATCTTTGCGTGGCTATGTCACACTATATGACACTTCCATGACGGAATGTCTGGACAAAAAGGTGCTGCCAAGCGACGAAAGCTTTGTTGTGTGTCCTGCGAAAACAGAACCACGGAAGAAGTCCACTCACTACCATCGTCTCAGATTGACAATCCAGCCTGGGCAGCCGCAAGTCTCTGTGCCGGTTCATTCTTGCAACAGTTGTCATGTATTCAATTCATTGTATCACGCATCTGCAGATTCCAAGCGACTTGGGCTAAGACCAGCAGCCATGGCCGTGGCCGTGGCAAACAATGAGGATTTGGCCACGATGATGCAAGAATCAGCTTCTCAGCTACAGCTGAGACCACAAGGCATTTCGCTTGTGAATCGTATGCAATCTTGAAAGTAGAAAGGGGTCATCAGGGGTAGCAAGGGCCAACAAAGTATAGTGATAGTGAGTTTCTTTTTTTTTTTCAGAATTCTGGATGACGGAACAAGGACGATCCGACACGATGATCTCGGTAACACGACGTCCGAGGTGTTGAAGGACTTGCCAGAGATGGCACACAAAGATCCGGTACCTGGAACTGCAGCACCTGAGGCGCGCACTTTGGCAGTTGGTACTTCCACGTTAAAGAAAACAACAAAGAAACCCTTGGAACCCGAAGATGAATGAGGATCAACATGGATCAACAACACTTCTCATATTTTGCTGTAGCGATGCCAGGAGCAAGGACGCTACTAGGGGCTCCTGGCCATACTACTTTTAGCAAGAAGCTGCTAGTTTATTTTGCTGGCATTAAACAGGTGTTGATGGTGTGCGTCCAATGGCCAAGGCAATGGTGGAGGTAGAGATCGGAAGCTCTCACAGCCGTGCCACGCCGCGGCAAGTGGCCACACTGTGCAACAAGGCAGCCGAACCTCCTACCTAATAACTTCTTGCTCCTAGTAGTAAGGCCAGGAGCCCCTAGTGGCGTCCTTGCTCCTAGTAGCGATGCCCTTTGCTCCTACTAGCAATTGCTACCTACTAGAGATGGCCTCCAACCTAATAGCTACCTGCCACAGCATGCCAAGTGCGCCTTCTGCGCGAGAAGAAACACCTTCCAAATGGGCTCCACAAGCCTATGCTTAGGTTGGAGGCCATTGCTATGAGGTTGGAGGCCATCGCTCCAACAGGTTTCTTTTGCCATTAGGAGCAAGGACGCTACGATCGGGGCTCCTGGCCTTACTACTAGGAGCAAGAAGCTACTAGGGGCTCCTGGCATCGCTACTAGGAGCAAGGACGCTTGTAGGTTCCGAATGGAATCGGCTCCACAGGCCTATGGCTACCGACGCCTCTCGGAGTCGGAGGCGCGTTCGCGGCTGGCCATGGGCGACGATGAAGGCTCGACCTGTCTGCGCGTTCGTTGTGGCGTGGACAACGACCGGAACGACGTACGATGGCCATCCTTCGAAACCAAAGAAACACGAAACCACAAAGGACTTAGTAGCTTCTTGTTTTAATTCTATAATTACAGTCTAATTAGATTTCCATTGATTTTAATTCTAATTCTATATAATTGAATTCTTGTTTCTAATAGCTTCTTGCTTCTAGTAGTAAGGCCAGGAGCCCCTAGTTGCGATGCCCTTTGCTCCTAGTAGCGATGGCGAGTCATGGAGTCATGGAGAATGCACAAAGGACTTTCAACGAGGCTTTTGAGGGACCTGGGTCTTACTTTTAGCAAGCTCTTCCTTCCTTGTGATTTCTTTTGAAGACCTTACGCCTTCCTTCCTTTTTGACGTTGGAACTTTTGGAGCATCGACGAAGGTGCCAACCGTGTGTTGCACTTGGCCTTCCGGAATGGCAAACTTTTGGGCTGCTGCTCCTCAACACTCCAGCCACCCTGGACACCCAGGCGCGGTCGGGTTCCACCCAAGGGGAACTCGAGGAGGACTTGAAGACAAAGATGTAGGGCACTCGTATGCCACATGCTTTATCCTCTCTTGTCTAGCTAGCTTTTGTCCTGGTAAATTGGATAACAAGTTCCAATTCAATGTTTGTCTTTGTTTCTTATGCCAAGAGAATTCTCTCTTGGGACAATGAAGCTCTTGACAAGCACGGTATCTTGACGGTCGACTTTTTCAGTCTGAGTGATGTTTTTCAGGAGCTGCGGCCACTGGGGTCTTCTGTCAGTGCATCCAGAGGCTCAAGGCACTGGCGTGGCATCCGTTCCTTGGCTTGAATGTCGGGAATCGATGCAACAGCCAAGTGGCTTTTCGTTTTGGCCACTTGGATACTTCGACGTTCAACTGGAATTGATGTTAGAAAGTCATCGTGCAAAGCCGAAGGAAGGAAAGCAGATCTTCAACGTTTTCGAATTCTTCAAAGGTAACTTCTGTGCAAACTCTAGCCATAGCGACGAAGTGTTATTTGATTCGTAGAGGCACTGGTTGCTGCAGCCGAGCGGCGGCTCCTCGAAGCTGGCTGCCGTGAACACCTCGGTAGAAATGACATCGGACGAGCTTTTATTTTTGGAAAGACGTCCTAATAAGTCAATGCAGAGAAGCATTTGTGCGTTCAATGCCTTCGGTGATTCCGCACAGCGATCCAACAATCGGAAGACGGTTCGCGATGTCAAGACATCTGGTGGAGCAAGGCAGCATTCAGATTGAATATGAGTTCACAGCCGGCGATCCTGACTCTGAGAGGCTGCTGGAGTGGTATGAGGTGGGACACACCAGAAATTGGTTATCATTTTATTCCGCACTTTCTTGTTACTAGTAGTAGCTTCTTGTTGCTAGTAGTAATGCACTTGTTACTAGTAGCGATATTCTTGTATTGGCTGGTGCCCTTTCTGTCCAGGGGAAGTGTGGCTTCAAGAGTGGCCGGGCCTGATGGACGAACCTTTCGTTGTGGGAAGGAAACGCAAGAATGCTTCTAGGAGGTTCCAGCAGTCTTCACATTGGCTATACACATGGTGTATATATATATATATATATCAATATACAATATAGTATATATGGTACCCCCCCGGGACCTAGCCTTTTGTACTTTTCAGCGGTATTTATGGTGAATTATGCACATTTTGACATTGATTTTTGGGTACAAGTTTTAGACATTTTTTTTGGTTGAAGGGATTATGGCGTGATATATATATATATATTGACACAATAAGAAAGGAAACAGTGGTCAATGAAGACCTCTTGTGTGGAAACCAGATGATAATAAAAACACAAGTTGCGCAACATGTTGCGCAACAAACTAAAATCCTAAAATCCTAAAACCCTAAGATTTCAGCACTAGTCCAAACCTTGACTTCATTGTTGTAGTCTGGAAATCTTAGGGTTTTAGGGTAGTGCTGAAATGTTAGGATTTTAGGATTTTAAGGTAGTTTGTTGCGGAAAATGTTGCGCAACTTCTGGACACACATCTTCTCACACAGGTTGCAGCGACATGGCTCCGAAAATGCGGGTAGATATCCTCGGATCCGTGGAGATCGATGGCCGTAGCGTCTCCCTCAACTTCGAGGTCCCCGCGGCAGCTGCATCTGCTTCTACCTCAACACCGGCCACTATGTCCCCACCATCAACCAAGGACATCATCTTGCAAATGATGCAGGGAAAGTTGCTGTACCACCCGACCAAGCAAACAGTGACGGCGCAGGAGCTTGGGCAGCGCATTCATTCCATTCAAAGCCAACTCTCTTTGACAAGAGGGCTGACACACGGCCAGTGGAGTGACGAAGCACAGACCCGTCTTTGCGCTTGGCTCTTGGCACCTCGCAAGAACAACAAAGCCTTGGCAGATGGCAAGCCATCAGGACACAGCGGAGAGCAAGCTGCACTGACAGATGGCAGGGAACATGAGGACAAGAGGACTTCTCGGAGTCGGTCTCGTAGCTGGTCATCGTCATCGTCTTCTATCAGCTCCTCGTCTGCTTCTTCTTCTTCTTCTTCTTCGGCACATGGGTCGCCCTCTGCTGCCGCTGCCCCTGTGTCACGGCACAATGTTGCAGAGCGCCAAGCAAAGAGAGCCTCCTCTGCTGCCGTTGCCCCCGCTCCAACCCGCAAGGAGCTGGAGGCTGAGATCGAAGAAAACTTGTTCTTCTGTCGGCTCCATCATGGCACCCGTCTTCAACCCTCACGTGCCCAAGCGTGGCAAGGCTTGCCAGGTGCTGAAGAGGCCTGGTTCTGTGAAGCAGAACGAGTGGAAGAAGGTACCTTACGTTCAGGATCCGGATGCCTTGCCGTGTGCTCGCGGTGACCAGCAGAAGTGGAAGAGGTCTTTGCCTGAGATTTTGTCTTGCTATACGGCATCTCTCATCTCCATGCTCCGTGATGACGGTCTGCTTCGTAGATGGGAAGGGTCTGTGTGTCTCATTGCGAGCGTGGAACTTTGGGCAAGTTGGCTCCACATCGCGGCGCGCGAAAGCACAGACGCAACGCCAAGAAGTAGCAAAAGTATATCAACCCGCACCATGCTCATCCACTCTTCGTCGAAAGCGCTGGCAACGCAATCAGCCCTTTTGATGCTCATCCTCAATCGTGTGCCCAATGCTGCCATTCACCGTCTGCTTCACATCAACCACAAATCCATTGAAGACTTCGCGAAGCGTCTTGGTCAACTTCGTGAAGCGTGGGTGGTGGACACAGAGAAGAGCATTTGCTTTGGCAAAGATCGGCAATGGGCAGACATCGAGGCCGACGAAGCTACCTTTGATCGCCAGGTGGTCGGTCAGCAAGCCCAATGGGAACAATGGTGCGCCGTTGTGCAGCGAGGAAAGTCATCCACGTTGGTCTTGCACCGACGCCTGCAAAGCTGAGGGCACCAGGCCCTGGCGCCGCGCGGAAAGTCGAGTGGGAGCCCCTGGCCAAGAAGTGGCTGCAAAATCGACAGGTGATTTTGCACGCAGACTCGGCTAAGGCCTACAAAACTGCCGTGCCGGGTGTGCTTCACGACCGTGTCGTCCACAAAAAACAGCGTGTCAATGCTGGAAATACATTCTGCTGGCTCGCGCCAAAATATGTAGAGCTCAACTCTCACAAACTGCCAGGATCAAAAAAAGCTTCTCAAGGTCAACTCTGGCGCACAGATCATTGACCGATGTTGGCGGTTTCTTAAGGAACGGCTGCGTGTAAACCAGACAGCCGCGTGGGTAGCCGTACGCTGAAGATGCAGCTGCCGAGTGCACAGTATGAGTACTGGCAGCCATAGAAACCAAGACCTTTGGATCAGCGCCGGGAAGCTGATCCAATGGTTCTTGAAGTAAACCACTTGGCATCTGCAAGGCGAAAAAAAAATGGTCCGCAACTTTCCTTGCACATCTCCGCATTTCATATCAAACACATCTGATCAAAAACATCTGCTCAGCAAATCATCTGACCAAACACATTTCAAATGGTCCACATCTGGTCAAACACATAAAAAGTAGGTCCCGGGGGGGTAGCATATATATATATATATCACATATATATATAATATAGTAACACAAAAAATATATATATATAGATAGATAATACATACACATTCTTCTTTTTTTCTATCTCTCTCTCTTTCTCTCTATATCGCTCGCTCCTTTTTGAGGTGGCTCTCCTCCACCGACCCGTGGCTCTGAGTTCCGCTGTTGTCTGGAGCTGAGTGGCTCTTGGATGGTGTAGAAAAAAGGTCTGAAAATCTACAGAAAGGTACAAACAATAAAGGGAAAGGATAAACTAAAGAACATTTTTGTTGGTGGCAACGAGTAATTTGAAGATGTGCACAGTGTGAATAGTGAAGTCACCAAAGACAGTTTCACCAGGTCGCAAGAAGCTCACGGAAAAGTCGGTGTACCAACACAGCTCAAGGAGTAGAGGCCGAAAGCCGGGTGTCTGTGGTGTCCGTTGGCAATGCCCAATTCCAGCAAGAAAAAGGGGGGAAACCAGTGGAAGTCGACTTGTCAAGGATGCTTGTCAAGAATGCTACTAGGAAAACGAATGCCCTTTGTTGCTAGTAGCGATGCCCTTTGTTCCTAGTAGCTTCTTGCTCTTAGTAAGGCCAGGAGCTACTCTTAATAGCGATGCCCTTTGTTACTAGCGTTCAAAAGACGGGTCTTGGCCAATGCTTTTTGCTTTCCGCCTTTGTGCTGTAGAAAGGCTTTCTCGATCTCACAGATCTGTTGAGTTCGCACCCTTTCCCAGGCTTGAGCTTGAGCGAAGTGTCCGGCTCTCAGCCATGTGCACTGCAAAACGATGTCTTGCATAGGGTACAAGGTACATCAAAGTACTCTCCTTCATAGGTCGAGCTAGCTAAAGTGCACCCAAGCTTATAAGTAAGGACTGCTAAAGAGGGGGAAAGATAGCGCTCGTGTTTCTCCAACACGATAGTTAAGTTTCCCTAGAAATGTAGGGACCAAATGCATAGTGTGAGCTATCCTGCCTCTTGGCTGGTAGCCACCTCTTACTACTACTTGCTGTAAGCTTCCCTCCCGGGGCTTAACAAGTGGTTCAAAGGTGTCAATTGTGAAAGAAGAGAAAGACAACTAACGCGTTCTTCTTCGCAGTCGTATGGTGCAATTCAGCCGAAGACCTAAGGAGAGCATTGTCCCATGTTACATATCCCGCCGTATCGTCCCCATTGAAGCTAGCAAATTGAGTGGATCGTGGGAGCATCAGCAACATTTGGTCAAACCTAGATTCTTCTTTATTGCTCAACGAAATCTGTTGAGCAGACCTTCCAAATTTGAGAATCTTAGTGGCCTCGGCCGCTATTGTGCTCCTGCGCCTCAATGGGGGTTGTAGAGTGAATTTAAGATGATTGGCTGTTTGTGGAAGACCACATGGGTGGGTGACGAGCACTTGATTAGACATCTCATCTCAATGACAGAGCAAGAAGGCTGGTGCAGAAAAGCCTTCTTGGCTTTATGCAAGTGCCAAGGGCAAGGAGCCATGTCAATTATTGGCAAAGCTTTCTGACACCATAGGTAAAGTTGTTACCATGAAGCCAGCCTGAAAGGCCTTTCTTTGTCACTTCTGTCAGTTATCAGGCTAAAAGACCGATGCCACGTGGTGTCACCCTAGTAGTGATGGCCTCCAACCTAATTGCAAACTATATTAGACCTTTCTTCATTCCTTTTCTTTTTGCTTTGTTTCTAATGGCGATGGCCTCCAACCTAATAGCCATGGCCTCCACCCTAGTAGCGGTGGCCTCCAACCGATGAGTCATAATATCAGTCAATCTGGTGTCAGCAAGTGGCTTTTGCAATGCGCCAAGGTCTCTCACTGATGCTTCCAGTGCTAGGAACACCGAAGAAGACGAGGATGATGAGCTTGAAAGGAGAGCAGTGAAGATGTGTAGAGTGTCATAGCGAAGTAAGCACCCATGCAAGCTCTGAGAACCGCGATGTTGGGTGGTTAGCAACCTCCCTCTTTTCCTGCCATTTGCGGAGATGGGAGCGCCTGAAATTCCAGATCGGCTGATCCTCAAAATTGTACATAAACATGCTGAGCAGCTGTCATTTGCATAGCGAGTTGATTGCACGACTGCAGACATTCTTCGAAGAAACACTTCCGCCTTGGAGTGTCTTCTCATTTGCTTTGTCCCGATGCAGACACCGCTGTGCTCGGCGCAATCTGATTCCAAGTAAGAAGGCACCTGAGCACTTGTTGGCTACGCCAGAGTCTCGAAAAAGATCAATCATAGCGCGCTGGTATTAGACCCAATAGCCCAATAGCGTCCTTGCTCCTAGTAGTAAGGCCAGGAGCTCCTAGTAGCTTCTTGTTCCTAGTAGTAAGGCCAGGAGCCCCTAGTATCAGACCTTTCTTCCTTCTCTTTTTTCTTTGTTTCTAATAGCGATGGCCTCCAGCCGCATAGCGATGGAGGGACAAGAAACTGAGAATGATGCCCGAGTTGACCTAGCTGGTGGCTGGCTTGTTGCAGATGTTGCCCGTGCTCGTTGCAGCTTGATCAAAACAACTCTGTTCATCGAAGAAGCCACGGAAAGGATATTGAAGGATGACCAGCACTGCAACAGAAGCTCTTTTCTTCAACCCGCACGAAGTCCAGATGATGCTAGTGGCCAAAAGTATCTCTCTCAAACCAAAGACCGTTGAACGTTCGAAAGAACGTTGAATGATCACCCTTTGGTCTTGGATGTCGATCTCCCCTATTCATAGGTCCACGAATACACAGAAGGAAGGTGCTTTGCAAGAAAAGAATAAGCAAGACACGGAAAAGGAACGACAAAGAATATGCCCTTTTGATCCCTTTTGAATGAAAGAAATTTAAGCATGCATTTGTTTCCTTAAGAGTCTGTTTCAAGCCAAAATTTTCTGAAACCCAAAGCATCATCCACATCGCTCTTTGGCTGCCGCGATGGTCAAGGCGGCAGGGTCATAGCCGTTGGTAGCACACCTTGCAAACCAAAATAGGCCTTTCTCCCTTTTCTTTTTGCTTTGTTTCTAATAGCGATGGCCTCCAACCTAATAGCAGCAACAAAACAGCCCAAACGGCTAGCCCGGGCTGCAAACAAGAACACTACTACTGAGCGTCTTGAGTCTGGAGTAACTTAAACTTGAGCACTTTCAAGCAACGATCTGACTTCGACATCTCACTTTTCTCTCCTCTCTATTTCCTCTCCAACTCCGCTTGTGTCTTCTTTCGCTTCATCTGTGGCTTTTCCCGTGGACCGTCGCCCGGGTGAGGTTTTCCTGGACATCGACATCGACGGCGAGTTGGCGGCCTTCCAACTGGGCCAGGCCTTTGTGGAGGCGAGAGAGACAAGAAACTACTAGTAGCTCCTGGCACTCCTTGGTCACCCTTGAAACCGCTGTTTGCGGAAGAACTGTTTGCTGTTTGTGGTCTCCTCGAGGCCAATGACATCAAGTACTCTTTGAGCTCCAAGGAGATCTTTCTTTGAGCTCCAAGCATGTCCACGAGTTGCTTGAGACGACGCACGCTTTTCAGTTCTTCTTTGAACAGTCCCTTCCTTTGCTTGCCTCAGTCTTAGAGTCTGAACCACCCCTTGCTGACAAGAAAGCTCTGACTTCCTATCTTCCAGGAGCCTTTAAATCAATCAGTCTTCCCCAAACCTGTTCTTCATCGTCCGCTGAGCCTCCGAGCGTCGGACGGCTCCACACTCGTCGAGCGTCTCCGAGGACGTCTTGGCGCTTGGTGGCTCGGAAATCTCGCGGCTGCCCGAGCTTTTTGAGGCACCGGTCCAATGAGGGGCACCGGTCGCGAGCGTTCGGAAGAGGTGTTGCGAAAACGAAAGAAACGGTCTGACTAGGGGTCTTCAGGGAATGAAGGAGCAATTCGGGAAGCTTTTGGCTTTTGAAGTTTGAGACCAGTCATTCTGCTCTGACAGTCCGACTACGAGTGGAGCCAAAAGGGTCGAGCGCTGCGGAGAGCTCAGCCCATCACTCCCCCATCCTTCAGCAGCCAGACAGTTACTGATTTTGGCTAAGGTTCAAACCGCCAGAACAGCGAGTAGTTGCAACTCGCTGAGATGACTCAGGGAATTCGTTTTGGGATTGCTTCTGAAACACTTCATATTTTTTTGTTGCCTTTTGCTTTTTCTCTATCTAGGAACTAGTGTGCGTCCTAGCTAGTAGCTCGTTACCTTAGTAGTTTGTAGACAGTCCTTGCTTCATTAAGTAGTAGGTGCCTACTTAATCAAGTAAGGGGGTGCAAAAGATGCATTTCTCCTTCCACAACTAAGATCGAGCTCTTCGAAAAGGAGAGCCCGATGGCCTGCGCCAACTTCAAGGTGCTTCCTTCACATCTTCCTTTCGTCTGATCGAACGTCCGCGTGACGCCGACGCCCCGGACGAGTCTGGAGCACCGGACAGGCGTTTTGCACCGGAGAGAAGGGGAAGTCCAAGGAATCGGGGAAGGAGTGCCGACTGGGAGTGCCGTGACATGCGACTGCGAGTCATCACGGGTCAACGAAAGGATCCGAACGAGATCCGAACGAGGACGAATCAACGTTTTACTTCGATCTCGATCTCAACCAGTTTTTCTAGGAGATGTGCTACAAGAACGTGCCCTTCCATCGAATCCTGAAGGGCTTCATGATGCAGGTCACGTTGCCAAACGCCGATGGAAGCATTGGATGTGAAAGGGAACAGGGGAGATGATGGGAGGGTGAAAGGGTGCAGAACATCGCTGAAACCTCCGCTGAAGAAGATCGCTAGTAGGTTGGAGGCATCGCTATAGTGGATGAGAGACCATCGCTTGGTAGGGTGGAGGCCATTGCTTAGTAGGGTGAAATTCTCACCTCGTCTCTCGTATCTCACTCGTCATCACAAGTCGTCCAGGGTGGTGACTTTGTGACGGGCACCGGCGCTGGCGGTGAGAGCATTTATGGCAAAAAAGGCTTCAAGGCCGGAAGCTACTAGGAGCAAGGGACGCTACTAGGGGCTCCTGGCCTTACTACTAGGAGCAAGGGACGCTACTAGGGGCTCCTGGCCTTACTACTAGGAGCAAGGACGCTACTAGGAGCAAAGGGCATCGCTACTAGGAGCAAGGGCTTCAAGGCCGAAAGCGGCGATGCGCTGGTCCTGCGCAGGTGCTTTGAGTTCGAATCCTTTTCGGCATCCGTTTCGAAACGAAGGATGACCCGGGTGGACTGAAGCTGAAGCACGATGCGAGAGGCGTGGAAGTCAATCTGAAAGACGGACATAGAAGCCTTGTTCTCTCCAAAACGATCGATGCTTTTCGCCAAGGCATCGTTTCCATGTCCAACACTGGATCAGTTCTCAGAATTGCCAAGCTAATGAAGAGACAAGACAAAGTGGAGCCACAAGGAAACAAGTCCGACTTCTTCTCCCTTCTCCATATTCACCTGAGGCAAGAACTCCAATACCTGCCAGTTCTTCATCACCTTTGGACGCTTGGCCGAACAGAACGCAGAACGATGTGTCTAGGCTTTGGCTGTGCCACTTTGGTCACCTTTTAGCGCTTTTTGGGTCATCCCGTGGCTTGGCATTTGGGCTGGAACTGTTCGTATTTCCCACGGGTTGCGAAATCCGTTGCTTTCCTTTCCCGCTTGTGGGATCGAATTTGGTCAAACACGACACATCGAGTCATCGAGTCGGTGAGAAATCTCAGGTGATCAAAGCAAGCTGAATGGCAAACACGTGGTCTTTGGCCGTGTGGTCGAAGGCATGGAGGTGCGGAAGCCTCGTGCGGAAAGATACATTTCTTCTAAAGAGGCCGCGTGGCCAAGAGCTCAAAGGCTTCTTTTTGGATGGGGTTTGCTTTAAAGGCCAGAAAGAAATGGCCCCAAAGGGAAGAAAGCAAGAAGGGAGAAAACACAGATCTAAAAGGTAAGGAAAGGAGCGGGCGGAAGAAAGAGAGAAGATTCATGAGAAACAAATAGATCGAGCTTTCATCGTTGTAGTATGTTGTAGTAAGGCTCCGCGAAGTCGGCAGAGGGATCCAATCCAATTGAACGGTAGCGACACAAAACGGATCCTTCTAGGTTGGAGGCCATGGCGCCACTAGGTTGGAGGCCATCGCTTCTACATCGCTAGATATCCACATGAGGTAATTCGGTTTTTACTCCTTTTAGCGACACGAAACGGATCCAGTCCGCCGCTTCGGTTGTCCAGCTGCCTAGGTCATCGATCGGGTGGAAGAAGAAACCGGCACAGCAGCGGAGGACAAACCTCTCAAGCCGGTAGCAGGGTTCTCAGCCAGAGCTCCAATTGGTTAGGAGGTTGAACAAGAACCAGTAAGGTGCATCTACTAGAAGTTCTTTTTTAAGTCACAAGCTGAACAGGTATTACCTAGGCATTTTCACGTTTTTGGTGGCATTGCACCGAGACCATTGTCGACTGCGGGATCCTATCGTGAAGCTTGTGAGTCCCTACGGTTGTAGACGCAAGTCCTGGGACAGATGCAGCCTCTGGTGATCTTAGTGATCTTAGTGGCGAAAGCATCATTTCTGGTCGCCACGGCAATGGACGAAAGCATCGGTTTGACGTCCGATTGACATGTTCAGAAACTCAATGACTCAAAGCCTTCGTGTTGGACTCGATTGCTTGCTCCCGGCCTTGGTGTGGCCAAGTAGAAACTCAGTCGCAAAAAATGACCAGGATGGGAGCAACATCTTGCAAGCATGGCCTGAGCATGAAGCCATGTGGAGAGACATTAAACCTGCATGTGAATCACATGCAACATATTCCATGTGCATTTGGAGGCCATCGCTAGTAGGTAGGTAGTTGACATGAAATTCTTGCACCTTTCTTTGGACTCCGCAGCTGCGACGCCCCCAAAAGGCCATCTCAATTGTGCCGGCGTCAAGCAGCCATGGCGGCGAAGGCCTTCTCTCCCTCTTCTGTTTCAAAGGGGATTGTTTACTTCGTTTGTGTTGAACGAATATCAGGTGTTCTGACTGTTCTGACTGGTGGTGATTTTACTGAACCAAAGCTGAGATGTTGGCTGGGCATGGCTGGGCTGTATCCTTGAACTTTGTGCATTTTTGTTTTCCACGTTTTCCCATGTTTTCCCCTTTCCTCTCTTGCAGGATCGTCGTAGCCTTGATGAGAGAGCCCAGCTGCTGAACCTTTGGCTGCTGGGACGAATTTACATCAAGTTGTGAGGATTCCAAATCGGTTCATTCCTTTTGCGAAACTGCATGGGCCTATTGTCTCAGTGTGCAATTCGCAGGTTGGACGAGTGTCCGCCCATTCGCTGGGTAGCTGACAAGCCCGGTGCTGAGGACAACAAAAAGGGATCAAAAGGGTCCCGGATCCGAAGTAGAAACAAGTGCATCGCTAGTAGTAACAAGTGCATCGCTAGTAGTAACAAGTGCCTTACTAGTAGTAACAAGAAGCTAGTAGAAACAATAAGCTAATAGCTTCTTGCTCCTAGTAGTAAGGCACTTGTTACTATACTAGCGATGCACTTGTTACTACTTCGGATCCGGGTCCCGGATCCGAAGTTCTTCGATTTGGTCAGTTTCGCTCCGTTCGATCGCTCCGTCCGATCGCCTTGATCAATGTGCCAGTGGCTATTCGTGTCGATGGGTCGATGATTGAGGTGTGGCATTCAACCATTAGCTGTCGCTGCGGCAGGCACAAGGGCACACATGAGTGCAGAAAACCCAAAAAGAAACACCTTCCTCAATGAGCTCAGTTGAGAGTAATTGGGTTTGCCTTGCTCGGTAGTATAGTTTGTCTTCCTCTCACGTTCCATCTCGTCCAAACGCAAATCGGATGAGTCGGATCCGTCGGATGTGAGGCCTTCTTTGGGTCTTGCTCTTCGTGCTGTGGGGTTTCATGGGTGAGCTGGTTTGCAAAGACGAAGCCTCGGTGAAGAAGATGCAGAGGGATGGTGACCAGACTTGTAGCACTGGTTGCTAAACAGGCTTGTAGGCCCTGGAGAGCACTGGTAGCAAAGGGGTTGAGATCAAGTGGAGCAGTGATTCTGATAGGAAGTCACCATGCCACGGACATTGGACCAATACTCCGTATTTGGCTGCCTTTTCTTCTTTTTTCGGGTTCTCCGGCTGGGTTTTTCATGCTGAGGTCGTGGGGAACCTGTACCCACTCTATGCATCCTTCCGTGCCAACTCCTTAGGAATAACAAGAACTCTGCTAGGGGCTCCTGGCCTTGCTACTAGGAACAAGTGCCACGCTAGTAGTAACAAGTGCCTTACTAGTAGTAACAAGAAGCTACTAGGAACAAGGGCATCGCTACGAACGGGGCTCCTGGCCTTGCTACTAGGAGAAGGACGCTTCTAGAGGCTCCTGGCATCGCTACGAACGGAACAAGGGACGCTACTGGGACCTAGCACTCGACTTTCCCAACTGATGGACTCTCGGCCCCGAGGCGCTGGAAGACGGAGATCATGATGAGGCAGGGAAAGCAACAGAAGGCAACAGGATGTGCGACTGTAGTTGACAACTTCTTAGGACACATTGAAAAGAAGAATGCCAGACGTAAAAGAGACAGCTGTCTTCTTTTTTGGAACAAGAAGCTACTAGGAGCAAAGGGCATCGCTACTAGGAGCAATGTTCACTACTAGGAGCAAGAGTATATGTGGAATGAGACTCATGGCATCATTTTGCACCTCGAGAGCTCCAGGTCAGTTCCTGGCTCACTTATTGGATCACCTTTGCGGCCTTCACCTTGCTAGAAGGCAGACGCAGAGATCTTCAGACGACCCAGATCTTGGGGGATGTTTTTCCGCTTTTGTTTTCTCGTTTAAAAAGAGTAGGTTGGAGGCCATCGCTATTAGGTTGGAGGTCATTGCTATTGGATGCGCTTGTTCTTTCTTCCAGGTGTTTGTTTCTTTCAGGTTTGTTTCAGACCTTGAGTCCTTGCAGGTGTCAGCATAAAGCTCATGTCGTGGCTTCCTCTCTACTATGTGATGAGGACAGTGATCGAGATGGCGGGACACGAACAAATCTGACACTAAGCGATTGAAACCGGTTTTGGATTGCAGCACTTGCGGGATGTCAATTCCATTTGGACAGGTCATGTTGGACCTCAACCGCATAACAACCAGAGACCTAAGAGAGCCTCCAAGTCCTCAAGCTAAATCCGAAAGGCTTCTTGTAGGGAAGGAGTCAGGAATACCAGACTCCCCAAGAATTGTAATTACATGTTACTCCAACCTACTAGCGATGGCCTCCAATCTAAGAGCGATGGCCCAATAATTTTAGTTTACTTTTCTTTTTTGTCTTATTGGACAGTAACATAGTAGGCAACTAATGTCAAATAATCAGCTAATCAGCAACACGAAAGAACACAGAGATGAAAAACAGGAAAGTCTAGGCCAAGTATTCTGGGTGCACCTTGACCTTCCTCTCTTACAGACCCTTACAGACCCTTACACTTCTGCCCAACATGGGGCGAGTCCTGTCCACCGTCGTCGGACGGTGTTCTCACGGCGCCCGAGAACACGGCTACTAGAAGCGATGCACTTGTTCCTAATAGCTTTATTATTTCTAATAGCTTCTTGTTACTACTAGTAAGGCACTTGTTTCTACTAGCGTGGCACTTGTTTCTAATAGCTTCTTGAACATTACTACTAGTAAGGCACTTGTTACTAGTAGCGATGCACTTGTTACTACTAGCTTCTTGTTGCTCACCGCACCAGGCTGGCCATGATTGTGTGGCTCTTCCTCCCCGCGACCCGTGGAGCACAAGCCCTTTACACCTGGGGCCTGGCACCGCTGCTGCGGCGCTATCGGCCACAGGTGGATGCCGCCTTGGCCAGGCGGAACAAGTCGTCTTCCTTGTCAAAGACTTCGGGATAAGATAGGAGAAGCCATATATGCTGGATATGGTGTTTGAAAGAAAGACGTGCGGGCAGACATGCTTGTCCCAAATCACGAACCAGGACAGGTCAAGGCCTCATACGTGTTGGAAGGATTATTCCTTCTTGTAGGGTATTCAGAATGTATTTCCTCTTGTGCATGTCGGTCTCGTTGTTCTTGTTTGTCATTGTTGTGTCAAGTGGGTGACATGTGAATGATGGGCCTTAGCTTCTTCTTCGACAGGTCTGCACAGCAGCTTTGTGGCACCTTTTGCTCCGAGAAGCTACGAGAAGCCTTGCGGAGCAAATCGGGAGAGGCGTTCGCCTTGCGGAGCAAACAGAATGGTCCGGTTGGGTTGGACCAAAGCAGATGGAATGCTGAGGGTTGGACCAAAGGTGCTTTCACGAGCAGGCTACTAACAAGAGCAGGCTACTAGGGGCTCCTGGCATCGCTACGATCGGGGCTCCTGGCCTTACTAGGAGCAAGGACGCTACGATCGGGGCTCCTGGTCTTTAGTATATAAACGTAAGTGGTCTAGTAGCAAAGTGTATTCACCCAATCAGTATCGACGGTTGACATGCATGAGCATGGCTGCGAGACAGGCTGCCAATGGCGGCATCGAGGATACCCCCGGTCTAGACAGTCATTGGATTTTTTGTTTGGCGCTTCGCCACTGGATTTGAGAAAAGAAGATTTGCTAGAAGCAAAAAAAAAGCGAGCAACGCATATTGTGGAACTAAGATCCAACACAGCAGACAAAGCCAAAGTAGTGTAATGGAAAAAACCACCAGCACAAGTTGCACTATGCAAATTGCCAAGAAAAAGGAACCTCGAAAATTCATTGAGGCCTTCTTTACTCCTTTCCACCAGGTCTCGACTATCTCTATGGCCTCCACCTTACGAGCGACGGCTTTCGGCTCGTCGGCCAACCGAAGGATGTTCGCTTCGAAGGAGCTGATGGCACAAGAGTTGGCCAAGGCGGCGGCCAGCCGCTTTGTGGGCCAGGCGTTGGAGCAAAAACGGGAAGTGTAAAGTGACAATGTACTTGCACATCATCCGTTTTTGTATTTTTTGGAAGGGACAGAACATGAAAGATGAGAAAAACATGAACGTCAAAATTGTAGAACTTGTGAAATGCGGAAACAATGCAAAACATTTTTGCAGAACTTTTTTTGTTTTGCTTTTGGTTAAAATGCATCTTCTCAGAGGATGCCTCTAGAAGATGGCCTCGTCCGGCTTGTTTCGAGACGCTGGGAGGTGAGCTCTCGGGCGCGCACCGCGTCCCCAAGGCGACGCACAATGTCGTGAAAAACAAATGGAAGTAAAGCCCCGTTCGTAGCGTCCCATGAGTTTGGAGGATGCAAAAGAGATTCTCCAAACTTTGTGCATCCTCCAAACTTTGCATCCTCCAAACTTTGTTCTCCTTCACCAGGATCTCTAACTTTGTGCCTTATTCTGTGTGAAGGCCCAGTCCGATGCGCAGGAGTGAGGGTTTGGCCGGAACCTCGCTTTGCAGTTTTGCCCAGCCCAACCTTAAGGCCTCCCCCTACCAAGAGCGATGGCCTCCAACCGGCCTTAAGGTCAAGGAAACAGAAGCTGTGAGTGCTAATTAGCCGAGAAAGACGAGACCGACTTTGCAGCTGAAACTGCGCTAATTCGGTGACTCTGCATCCTAAATTGCCCAGTGCGGATGAGTGCGGATGGGGACTCCTGAACTTCGCCGCGGAAAGAGCCAATTGAGCCGTTTGCGGCTGCGACAAACTACTGGTAGGCGGTTTCGTGGACAGTGCTTGTCGGCTAGCATGGTTTCAAAGATTTTCAAAGTGTTTGGCTCGCACCTCAAATTCTCAAGCAACACGAAGAACACGAAACAGCAAACTTACTCGGCATACTGATGGTGAGAACCTAAATTGTGAGATTCGAAGGTTTGACGTTTGAAACACTTGACTACGTCGTGGAGTCCTTTTGGCAGGTCTATTCTCGCTTTCTTTGGTATGAAACACAGAGGGGCGACATGGCCCCATGATGGACTCGAGCCAGGCGCCCCCGCCAACAGCTTCTGAGGAAGTGATGCACACGACGACGTTGCTCCGACCATGCTTGCTCGTGTGATGTGCGCACACTATTTATCATATTACTAGGAGCAAGGACGCTACTAGGAACAAGTGCATCGCTTCTAGTAACAAGTGCCTTACTAGTAGTAACAAGGTTCGCTAGTAGGAACAAGGGCATCGCTACTAGGAGCAAAGACGCTACGTTCGGGGCTCCTGGCCTCGCTACGAACGGAGAAAGGGCATCGCTACGAACGGAGCCGGTGCGTCGGGATGCAACCAGGTGGAGCTCCCAACGCTTGGAGACTTGGAGCTTCCGGAGGACACTCAGCTGCCCACAGAAGCACCGGAGGTACCAGAAGAGCTTGCAGAAGTAGAAGCTCCGATAGAGGTTGCTCCGGCGTCTGGAGAGCTGGGAAGCTCAGGTTCATCGACAACGTCGATGATTAGTAGCAGAAAACCAGAAGAATGAAACGAGGCAATCAGACTAGGAGCAAGGGCATCGCTACTAGAAACTAGTAGCATTCTTGCTACTAGGAGCAAGAAGCTAGTAGAAACAAGTGCCTTACTAGTAGTAACAGGTGCCTTACTAGTAGTAACAAGAAGCTACTTGCTACTAGGAACATTTCTGGATTTGATGAGTAACGATGATGACGACGATTGACGTGCATGTGAGGGTCCATGCGGATGTCGCGGAAGTCTCGGGAAGTGCAACACAGGCAGGACCTTGAACTTGAATTAAGAACAGCACAAAAGACGCTAGTAGTAACAAGTGCATCGCTTCTAGTAACAAGTGCCTTACTAGTAGTAACAAGGACGCTAGTAGTAGCTCCTGGCATCGCTACTAGTAACAATGTTCGCTACTAGGAACAAAGGGCATCGCTACTAGGAGCGATCGGACGCTAGTAGGTTGGCAGTGGCAGTGAGAACACAAAAGACACAGGTTGGACACCAGTCGACCATTTGAGTTAAGATTGGTTGTAGAAGTTCCAAGACGGGAACTACTAGCAACAAGTGCCTCGCTAGTAGTAACAAGTGCCTTACTAGTAGTAACAAGAAGCTACTAGGAACAAGTGCCTTACTACTAGTAACAATAAGAATTTATTTAATTCTAATTGGAATTGTAATGAGAATGAGAATGCAATCTCTGCAGTGTCCAAAGTTCCAAGACGTGGGGTATTCCGCTCGTAATTTTCATTCTATTTAATTCTCTAATTCTAATTACATTTTGTTTCTACTAGCTTCTTGTTACTAGTAGTAAGGCCCTTGTTCCTAGTAAGGCCAGGAGCCCCTAGTAGCATCCTTGTTCCTAGTAATTAGCGATGCCCTTTGCTTCTAGTAGCTTCTCTGCATTGAGATTGCTTAAGAACGCAGAAGTGTGCGTCCTGGGGCACCACCTTTCAGGTTCGAAGGAGGCTGGCTGTACAGTCGCCTGGCTTCGGCCCGGTCCCATTCAGAAGATTTCCCATTTGAACTGCAATTTGAGGCATACTCTGTAGCGTCCTCTTGCTCCTAGTAAGGCCAGGAGCCCCTAGTAGTGTCCTTGCTCCTAGTAGCGATGCCCTTGTTACTAATAGCTTCTTGTTACTACTAGTAAGGCACTTGTTACTAGTAGCTTCTTGCTCCTAGTAGTAAGGCCAGGAGCCCCTACGTAGTAGTGTCCTTGTCCCTGGTAGCAATACTCTGTAGCTTTGCTGCTGTCATAGCGCAGCTGCTTCAGCCCCTTCTTTTTTTCTCTGTCATTGAGGCGTCTTTGCTCGGGCTGCGGCTGAAGCAGCTGCGGCCGCGCCGGTGCTTAATGATCCATACCAGTACTGGGTCTTCCTGACATTTTTAGAGAGCAAGATTGAAATGAACACTGGTTGACCATAGGCCATAGGGGCTCCTGGCCTTACTACTAGGAGCAAGGACGCTACTAGGAATAAGCCAACGAAACTTCTCAAAATTGTCCGAGTTTTCTTGCCAGACTTGTGACATACCACTCTGCCAGGTGGCACCGGAAAGTGCAGAGGCCGAATCAACCTGGGCAAATTCTGCTTGCCTTTGTGTTGGATCGTCTTGCTGTTGAAGTGCTGTTTAGCGAAGGTACTAGGACCACTAGGAGCAGGGATGCAATTAGGTGGAGGCCATCGCTAGTAGGTTGGAGGCCATCGCTACTAGTAACAAGAATCTTCTGGTCACAAGATTGTGCAGGAGCGGGAAGCTAAGACCGCAAGAGAGAGGTGGCAAAGCTCAGGTATTCCAAGTCACTTCATGTCACTTCATTGCCACACGCGATTAGTTGTGGAAAATTGATTTTGCAGGCTTCTTGTTCCTAGTAGCATGCCAGGAGCTACTAGTAGTGTCCTTGCTCCTAGTGGTAATGCCCTTTGCTACTATGGCCTCCAACCTACTTGGGATGGCCTCCACTTAATAGCGTCCTGAAATGAGACTCCTGGTTTTCGGAAAAGTTGTCAGATCTTCCCGAAAGGTGAACCCACTCAGGACATGTGAAAACACACTGTTTGAGTTGTTTAGACATGCTGCGGACACTTGCATCTACTTGAAACACGTCCTGCAGACACAAGTCCCTTGCACATTCTCACGCTATGAACGGCACTCCTTCATCGCACATTTGGCATTAGGCTTCGAAAAGTGGCCATCCTTGTGCTCAGTGAAGCCGATGCTGAAAAAGGCAAAAGGGATAGTGGGCTTTTCGTCTTTCAGATGTGGACACCTCCAATCTACCCACGACGCAAACTCGGATGAACAGATGATTCAAGACTCGGATGTAACAAGGACGCTATGAGGAGCAAAGGGCATCGCTACTAGGAATAAGGACGCTAAGAAGAGGGGCGCTCCTGGCCTGACCAAATCGAATGCGCCGTGGAGCCGAATCGACCTGCGTGGAGCCGAGGCATGAAGCTTTCGGAGTTCATGGATAGCCTGGAGCAGCTTCATCCGCAGGTCGATCAACTTCACGTTGAGAAACGACAGGAATCAACAATTCCAAGACACGAACGGACAAGAAACGAGGAACTATTCCAATCCACAGCACTTGCAATAGATCCTTTGGACAAGTGAAGTGTGATGTACCAAGGTGGCAAACGACATGAAGACGCCATGACCTCGATGTTGAACAGCTTGAGCATCCTGAAAGGTAAAGCCTTGAACATATTCAAGTTGAACTCTATTCAGCAAACATTTCAGCAAGGAACAGTTGAGTTGAAGAACCAACTGCGCAGTTCGACCCGAACACAAGCGCCTTCTGGTGTCTTTTTTTTTTTTAAATTTCAGGTATCAGTGCATTCCAAACCCAAACCTTTCAAAGCAGAATGAGACACAGAGCGCGTCACTAGCGGGGAAATCAGCAAATCAATCCAGTTTTGAGTCTGCAAACAAGAGTTCGAACAGAGCTTTGTGGTGGGAGTAGTAGCGATGCACTTGTTCCTTGTAGCGATACCCTTGATACTAGTAGCTTTTTGCTACTAGTACTTGCCGCACTCCCGAGAAGCTTGAAAAAGGGCTCGGCTCATCTGCCTTCAGAGATTCAGATTGCAATCAGCGGCAGTCCTGGCCGAAGCGAATGCAGACATTGAGAAGAAAAGGCAACTGAGGACGGATTCTGTAGCCGCTACTTGCAGGCGCACTTTCTTTTCTACTCCCTACCGCTACCGAGAGGAATGCATTTTTGCTACCGCTTGCTTCCCAAAGGCATTCGGTTTGAAATGGCCTTTGCACTCTGAACACATGAGCACAAACACAAACATAACACAACCCCTTGAGAACAACCGGCCATGCCTGCTTTTTTGCTCTCTGCTGCCTGGGTTTTGTGCTGAGGTGCAGCTTCACGTCCGCGCAGGACATGTTGAAGGCGCGTGGTGGAAAACATGGCCCTGCCATAGATTCACCCAGGTTCGCTTCACCCAGGTTCGCTCCTCCATAGGTGTAGTGTAGAAGACGAGAACAAATCAGGGCCCTGTGGTCAGAGACTGGAGAAACGAATCGACACGCAAAGAACAAAGAACATAGAGTTTTCGTCGGCTCTGCATGAAACATCGACGGAGTCAAATGCCTGTGTTTGTTTCAGTACTAGGAACAAGGGCGCTATTAGGGGCTCCTGGCCTTACTACTAGGAACAAGGGCGCTGTTAGGGGCTCCTGGCATCGCTACTAGGAGCAAGAAGCTACTACAAAGTCTGTTCAAGCGGATTTTTTTTCTTTTCTGCTCATTGGCCGAAAGCTACAAGAACTCTCGTATAAGCTACTCGGCGGGTGCACCGTGCTGTGCGCCACCGTGTAAGAAGTGTCAAGGCCATGAAGAGCCTGGCCCGGCTTGGAGAAGCTGAGGGTGAGGCAGATGATTTAAGCTGAGCGTGCACTTCCTTGAAAAGGGACCCAAGCAAGCAAGCAAACGAATTCGGAACCGCTGTCACACGACCACATTTTCTTTAAAAGGTACCAAGCACCTGAATTTTGAGGAACGGCTCTTCCCCCTCTTCCCTCTGGAGCTCGAGGTGCCTTTTTGATTGCAGAGCACAATGTGTGTCTTTTTCTCCAAATCACTCCTTTGCTATTAGAAACAAGTGCCACGCTAGTAGTAACAAGTGCCTTACTAGTAGTAACAATGTTTGCTATTAGAATTATATAATTTTAATTCTAAATTGAATTAATAGCTTTTTGTTACTACTTTCGCCAAGAGCGTCTCGCTTGTGACTAGTGGTTTAATTACGAATTGGCAGAAGTCACTGCCGCTGCATGGTAGTCAGGGCCCATCGGCGCCTCAGTGTCGAAGTGGGCCACCAACTTCTGTACAGCAGCTTCAAACCAACCGGGAACATCGGCCTCTCCTTCATCGGCCTGAGCATCTAAGTGCCTTACTAGTAGTAACAAAAAGCTATTAATTCAATTTAGAATTAAAATTAATTCTAATAGCAAACATTGTTACTACTAGTAAGGCACTTGTTACTACTAGCGTGGCACTTGTTTCTAATAGCTTCTTGCTACTACTAGTAATGCCCTTTGCTCTAGCTTCTTGTTACTGCCGGAGCAGCCACGTGTTCTCGTGGAGCTCGAGGCGTCCAGCGACGGTGAGGTGAAGGATGGCCGGATGACGATGAAAGTGGACAGGACTTGCATCGCTACTAGTCACAAGAAAGCTATTAGAAGCAAGAAGCTACTAGGAACAAGTGCATGCGCCGCGCGAAAGTGGACGAGTTCGAATCCTTCAGACGACTTCGATGCGCCAGAAAGCGTGCATCGGAGTCCATACGAGTCCATACTAGCTTTGGACTCGTATGGTGATTATATAATGTTATATAACCACCATACTACTTGAAGCAAGTCCGCTACCATACAAGTCCTAGTATAGATGAGTTCCAAGATGCTTTGCTTCAGTCCAGCGCTTGCTTTGGGCTTTTGGAGGACTGGTGGTGCTGCTCTCGGGCTCAGCGTCGCCCCAGATAAGGAGCCCGGAAGCATCGGGGGCCAGGAGAACGCAGGTGGAGGAACGAAGCAGCCCCAAGTGCTAGTCGGGTGGAGGCCATCGCTACAAATCTTGCTCACCTGCGGAGACTGTCAAGTGAGATGTTCATTTTTCCCCATTTCACACCGCAGAGTCGGTTTGCGTAAATATTTCTTCCTCCCTGCGAAGAGGAGCAAACGGCCTTAGAGATTCTCGACATCAACGATGGCCTTGTGAAGGAGCAGATGTTTCCGATGAGAATCCTTCTCTTCCACAGTTGTCTCAATCATCAAAGCGCAGTGACTTGTTGCAATGATGGCTTGAACATGTTTGACCAATTTTCTTGTACACTAAATATGATGTTGCCCGAATCTGTACATGTTACACACATATCAACAAAAAGACTCCATGCTACTCATTAGGCTACCCCCTCTTTTTTTTTTCCAGGTGGAAAACCAAACCGCGGCGCGCGGAATCCGCATGCTTTGCTTTCGCTTTCGCTTTGCTCTCCAGGAGTGGTGTCAAAAGAGGCCCAGTCGGAAGGTCTTCAAAGGCGACAGGCCGCTGCCGCGGCGCCGCGGCGGCGCCGAAGGGTGGGGCCGCGGCGGTTTTGCTCGCAGATCCGGCTTCGCCGAGTAGATCGAATCCATTTCGGACGTAGATACCGAACAGGTTGATCGGTGAAGCGAAGGCTGGTTCTGGCAATGTAGTGGTTGGCCGTGGAAAGTTCTTCTTTTGTTCTGGGCGATTTTGGGCGGAAATTCTTCGGAGGCACCGAGAGACTGTCGGGCGTTTGGATAAGGGAGTGTCTCCTAGTTCCGCTGTGGAGCACCTCGAGAAAGGTGGAAGCCATATCATCACTGACTTGCAGAAGGTTGATTGCTCATTTTGAAGGTATATAGGGCTTGACTACTAGCTACTAGGGGCTCCTGGCCTTACCACTAGGAGCAAGGACGCTACGATCGGGGCTCCTGGCCGTACCATGATTGCATTCTTCCTCCCATAAGTCGAGATCAACTGGCTCAAACCCATCGCTGCTTTGCTTGTGTTCCCCTGCTCGCACCACTGTGAATCTTGCTGCAATGGCATTGTTGGGCCGTAAGCATGCCCTTCACTTCACTTTGCGATCTGGGTCAAGAAGCTTTGGACGGAATTTCTGGCGGCTGGGTGACAAATCTGAGACAGACACTGTGTGCGACAAGCTCCAGCGTTGTCAGACCCCACAGGATTTCATTGCTTATGCAGAAGCAATGCGCATGCACATTCAGAAAGCATCTGGGGCAAGGGTCATCCATGGACCCCCACCTGCGAACATCTCAAAGAGTATCCAGCAAAAAAGCTCCAGCAAGGATCTCCATGCAGGTGAAACCAAGAACATCATCAATGCCTTTATCAAAATGGGCATTGCAAGCGGCCAACCATCAAAAACACGTTTCTGCAGAGAAAGCAAAACTTGGTGCTCAGATGAGAGATGCATGACTACCTGTCTCATTGTCACCAAGCGTGCGCCCAAATAATGTGAAAAGCTCCTAGTAGCGTCCTTGCTCCTAGTAGCGATGCCAGGAGCCCCTAGTAGCTTCTTGTTCCAAATAGCGGGACAAATTTCAGAAAACAGATGCTTGGCAATGGTTGGCCACGGCAAGTTGTGTCCGCCATTCCCGCCAGAGTGCGGGTGCGAATTGGTCATGTTTGTGGTCGTGCCCTCGAAGTTGACGGTACCGTTACAACGGCCTGAGCTTGCTGCGTGTGTACAAGCATTGTAGCTGAGCATCGTCCTATTTCCTGATCAGACTTGCGTGGCAAAAGGCATCAGCCTTGCTTTGAAGACGTAACACAAGCCTTGAGGCCAAGACCCAAAGCCCATCAGGAAAGAATGGAAGATAATGAAAAACGGTCTAAAGACAGACTACAGATAGAAGTAAACAAGGAAGGAACAAGGTCTAAGAAAAGTAAAGAGAAAGCAAAACACATTACATAACTTTTGGAACAAAATGCTTTTGAGATTTGTGCCTGCCATGCCTCGTAGAATCGTGGCCGTGAACAAGCTTTGCGGGTGCAGTCAGAAGTTGGTGGACCTTCTTCGACAGCCTGATTCCTACGTGGCAAGCTGTGAAGCAAATCGGACTTTGGAGGCCATCGCTACTAGGAACAAGAAGCTACGATCGGGGCTCCTGGCATCGCTACTAGGAGCAAGGACGCTAGTAGGTTGGAGGCCATCGCAAGCAGGTTGGAATGGGAAGAAAGGACACACTTAGTGCATTTGGGCTTCCGGGTCACCTGCGAATTCACGTGGTCTTAGTGCGATTGAGGGATGGACCTTTGGTGCTGTCGATCATGCGGGGTTCGGGGCTTGGCCAGAGAATTTGCAAAGAATTTTAGTTCCTTCCTTTGGACCGTTAGGCACTCCTTTATTTATATATTTATTTTGTTTCTTAGGCAATCACAGCAAAATCATGAGAGATGTTCCTAGTAGCGTCCTTGCTCCTAGTAGTATGGCCAGGAGCCCCTAGTAGCGTCCTTGCTCCTAGTAGCGATGCCAGGTGCCCCTAGTAGCTTCTTGTTCCCATTTGCATCCCTTTTTCTTTTTTTCTCGTGTCATTGTGAACCTCAGCTTCTGGCTTTCCTAAGGCCCTCCACCAAGAGGTGGACAGTCGACAGTTGGTTCATGTGGTTCAACCGTTGTCGAAAGTACTGCGCTGGTTTCCAATAGTATTGGTCCATGTTGATAGACAGCAATTGATACAGAGTCTGACCGGGCTTGACGACAGACCAGGACCAAATACCTCAAACAAGCATGGCTGTGAAACAGGGCAAGAGGTATGCAAAGGTCAACTTGAAGACTTGTTAGGATCGCTGCTTGGCACAACAAAAATGCTACTAGCAACAAGTGAATCGCTACTAGTAGCAAGTGCATCGCTACTAGTAGCTTCTTGTTACTAATAGCAATGCACATGTTACTACTAGCGTGGCACTTGTTTCTAATAGCTTCTTGTTACTACTAGTAAGGCACTTGTTACTAGTAGCGATGCACTTGTTACTACTAGCTTTGAGATTGCTTGCAACAACGTGCCAGGGGGTCGTGGCGGAGGCGCGGGAGTTTCCGTTTGTCTCTTCAGTCTTCTCGTCAAAGAACGCGTTCCTTTCAGGCGGCAAGGGCAAGGGTCGTGGTGAGGCTGGGCACAGCAGTGTGTGGCAGTCAAACGGACACTGTGCTATGTTCAACACGCTGCCCGACAATAGTAACAGTAGTAGCAACAGTAGTATCAGTAGTATTGTTCTTCCAAATAGGTTGGAGGCCATCGCTAGTAGGTTGGAGGTCATCGCTCTTTGGCTGGAGGCCATCGCTAGTAGGTTGGAGGACATCGCTCTTTGGCTGGAGGCCATCGCTAGTAGGAAGATATGAACAGACCTTTTTTTTGCAAACACAAACGAGTTCGACTTTCGGCTGAAACTGAAATCAACACAAGCGAAATCGCCAGGTGCGTGTGCCAGGGGCCGCGGAACCACTCTCAGACGGTCCAGATATGTCTAGATATCTCTCAAAGCATGTTGGAATGATAAAGGCATAACGTCAATTTCATATTATATATATATATATACATAGTTCCCCAAACAGTTTACTGTTGGGGTTCTATCTTAGAAGAAAAGAGCTGGCCACACTCACTGGCCGCGCCCCTGAACTCTGTGGCTGGGCTCCGTGGCTGGGCTCCGTGGCTGGGCTCTGTGGCTGGGCTCTGTGGCTGGGCCTTGTCCTCCTCTTGTCCTC